TATAGATTATGGTAAGTTATGAAGCAGTAAATTGACTATAGTTTGGTAGGCCTTGTTGGAGTCTGGTCTGACCTGGGAGGCCGGCGGAGTGAACCATTATTGACATTCTTCCCCCGTTCTCTTGAGGCTTCCCACCTAGGCTTGACTAATAAGTGTTTAAGTAAATTTGGGGATTATTCTGATGTTTTATGACGTGTGAGAGAGTGAGAAGGAGGGAGAGACAGAGGTGGGGGGTCAAATAAGGCCGCCATGAAAGTCACCTACGTGTTGCATCAGGTCAAGAGTCTCGCCCTCAGTCGTGGATGACAACATGGCCAGACTATTTGTAAACACGAGACAGGGGAGGGAGGGAGGGAGTGAGGGAGGGAGGGAGGGAGGGAGAGGAAACACCAACCAACAGGTGAGGGGGTGTGACGTTATGACCCACGATGATGTGATAGGTGTGTTGACATGATAGGTTGAAAGGTCACTATATCGTGTGTGTGTGTCTGTGTGTGTGTGTGTGTGTGTGTGTGTGTGTAAGTCCATTCATCCATTATTCATATGCTGTCATGTACGTGAGTCACACACACACACACACACTAAACATGACATCTACAATATAACCCGCCCACTCACCACTACGTCACCCGAATTTATATAACTTAGTATTATATTCTAGGCTTGTGTTGGTGTAGTGGTGGTTGTGGTTATGGTAGTGGTTGATATAGTGGTGGTGGTGGTAGGAATGGTTATGGTAGTGGTTGATATAGTGGTGGTGGTGGTAGGAATGGTTATGGTAGTGGCTGTGATAGTGGTGGTATTCATTGTAGTAGTAGTAGGTACACCAGGTGTGAGAAATATATCACTAGTCTACCTGTAAACTTAACGTAACTGTAAACACAATCATACGCTAAAAGTCATAATATTTGACCGGATATATGCTTTTACCGTACACGTCAGCCGGATATGGTCACAAAGCCGGAAAAGTATATATATCCTGTTTACAGACACATATAATGGAGATTTAATCCGTCTACGCGACAGTGTAGTTTACCGTACAGTATAGTTTACCGGGCAGTGTAGTTTACCGGGCAGTGTAGTTTACCGGACAGTGAAGTGTACCGGACAGTGTAGTGTACCGGACAGTATAGTTTACCGGGCAGTGTAGTTTACCGGACAGTGAAGTGTACCGGACAGTGTAGTGTACCGGACAGTATAGTTTACCGGGCAGTGTAGTTTACCGGACAGTGAAGTGTACCGGACAGTGTAGTGTACCGGACAGTATAGTTTACCGGGCAGTGTAGTTTACCGGACAGTGAAGTGTACCGGACAGTGTAGTGTACCGGACAGTATAGTTTACCGGGCAGTGTAGCCGGACAGTGAAGTGTACCGGACAGTGTAGTGTACCGGACAGTATAGTTTACCGGGCAGTGTAGTTTACCGGACAGTGAAGTGTACCGGACAGTGTAGTGTACCGGACAGTATAGTTTACCGGGCAGTGTAGTTTACCGGACAGGTGAAGTGTACTGACAGTGTAGTGTACTGACAGTATAGCTTACTGGGCAGTGTAGTGTACTGACAGTGATACACTGTGTACATATTAATTGAGGGCGTGACTCTAGTTTTTCCCCAGCATGACGGTGAGAGTGGTATATATAGTGCCCCCACTACACCTGCACCCCTGGCCACACCCACCCTACACCCCCCACACCCACTCCACACCCCTGCCACACCCACCCCACACCCTGCCACACCCACTCCCACACCCCCACACCCACCCACACCCACTCCACACCCCACACCCACTCCCCACACCCCACTCCTACACCCTGCTACACCCACTCCCACAATCTCTGCCACACCCACCTTGGCTAACCCCTGGCTACACTACCACCAACCTGTCCAACCTGCCACTCTATTTCCGCACATACACTTGTAATTAGTGTTTCTCTCTGGCTTTGTCCTTGGGGTCGAGCCTGTGTGTGTCACTGACTCAGTCCACCTGTGTGTCAGCCAACAGCCCACCTGTGTGTCACCGATCAGTCCACCTGTGTCACCGGACCAGTCCACCTGTGTGTCACTGACCAGTCCACCTGTGTGTGTCACCGACCAACCACCTGTGTGTCACCGGGACCAGTCCACCTGTGTGTGTCACTGACCAGTCCACCTGTGTGTGTCACTGACCAGTCCACCTGTGTGTCACCGACCAGTCCACCTGCGTGTCACCGACCAGTCCCACCTTGTGTGTCACCGATCAGTCCACCTGTGTGTGTCACTGACCAGTCCACCTGTGTGTCACCGACTAGTCCACCTGTGTGTCACTGGGATCAGTCCCACCTGTGTGTCACTGACTAGGTCCACCTGTGTGTCACCGGACTAGTCCACCTGTGTCACCGACCAGTCCACCCAGTGTCACCGACCAGTCCACCTGTGTGTCACCGACCAGTCCACCTGGTGTGTCACTCGACCAGTCCACCTGTGTGTCACCGACCAGTCCACCTGTGTGTCACCGACCAGTCCACCTGTGTGTCACCGACCAGTTCACCTGTGTGTCACCGACCAGTCCACCTGTGTGTCACCGACCAGTCCACCTGTGTGTCACCGACCAGTTCACCTGTGTGTCACCGACCAGTCCACCTGTGTGTGTCACCGACCAGTCCACCTGTGTGTCACCGACCAGTTCACCTGTGTGTCTTCAGGATGACTTAGCGAGTCGGTCGGCTATCTTGGATAATGACGTCACACTCACGCCCGCCTGAGTAACGCAATGCCCGACAGGTCAGAGATCTAAATCTACCCATTAACCAATATTCTTCTCACGAATATTAATCTATGATCGAGAATATTTGTCATTAATTAACACAGGAAAGAATAAAAGGTAGACCGGTCATTATGTAAGGTGGGGGAAGGGTTCCATGCCCGGATATGTGGCAACAGCGGGTGTGAGTCGAGGGAAAATAAGTGACCTGTGTTACTATTTTGGAAGGTGATGTTAAAGGACCGGTAATGGATACCCTCTCTACCTCATCAGGGCGTTAACGTCTCGTCATTATCTTCCTTGTGTGGTAGTACTGAGTTGAACGTTGACGGGATGCGAACCTAATTAAAACCCTCCTTATAATTAAGATAATAATATTAATAATAATGATAATAATAATAATAATAATAATAATGTCACGAAGATTAACCATCCCAACTTATTTCACTTGATTAAGAACCCTAAATTAACGTAATCAAACTAAACCTAACTTAATTTAACCCAACCTCCCCCTAATTACTGTTAAGGTGAACTAAGTATATTATTATTAGTATTATACAAATAGGAGAAGTATATAATCTCCGCTTTGTGTGTGTGTCCTTCCTCCCGCCTACACAGTACAACGCGTCCGGTTCACATCTGTAGGAGCCTTGAGGGAGTTTCAACACAAAGTTTACACAATATGTAACTTGATGACTTGACTTACCAGAAACTTAGTTCAGTAGTGAGTCATCAACTAACTTAACTGAGGGACTTATTGTTGTTATTGGTTGTATTATTATTATTATTATTTTATTATTATTATTATTATTATTAGAACAAAAACAATAACTAGGAAAATAACAATCATATCTTTACTGGCTGGTTATTAGTGGTTGAATTATTCTATATTAACAAATTATTGCGGGATTTGGTCTACTAATTAAAAGTTTCCTGGTGAAGGGTTTTGTACAGTAAGATATATTAAGCATTATACATTAATAATACCCTAATAAAGTTATCTGGTAAGGATTAATTGAACATTGATTAATTATTATTACTGGTACTATTAATTATATTACAAGAAAGTAATTATTATGACTCATTACTAAAAGGAAAAATATAACATAGTTCTTTAAAGAGCATATATATATATGATTAGTAATTACAATAGCGACTTACAGAAAAAATAACTTAAGGTCCTTAACCCCTCAAGTGTTGGCGGGAATTTTCACCGACGACTCGCCAGCAGGGTCCGCTGCCGCGTTTTAAAGGGGCGATTATTCTAGTAAATTAAAACACGTGTCATAGCCAGACCCTGAGTCATGAAGAGGGGGAGGGTAAAGGAATTATTTTTGGTGATGTAGTAGTGGAGAAATGGTGTAGAAAAAGCATAAATAAGGTAAAAACGAAACCGGTGATTCATATACTGTATACATACGCTGCAGGGGGGTGTGGTGAGGGTGGCGGGAGGGAAAATGTTGACGGATTATTTTTCGGTTTATTAATTGAAATATAAATGTTCAGGCCTCAAGATGTACAGTAAATAACAAGACAATAATAACAATATTTTTAATAGTCAAGGAACCCATATACACTATGTAGTAGTGTCAATAACTCTTGTAGTGAATTATGCTGACGATGGCACCTCTTTATATGGAGGGATACGAACACAAGTAGAGGAGGGGGAGGGATACGAACACAAGTAGAGGAGGGGAGGATACGAACACAGTGGGGAGGGGGAGGGATACGAACACAGAGTGGGGAGGAGGGATACGAACACCAAGTAGAGGAGGGAGGGATGCGAACACAGAAGTGGGGAAGGGGAGGGATGCGAACACAAGTAGAGGAGGGGAGGGATACGAACACAAGTAGAGGAGGAGGATACGAACACAAGAGTAGAGGAGGAGGGATACGAACACAAGTAGAGGAGGGGGAGGATACAGGCACAAGTAGAGGAAGGGGAGGGATACAAGACACAAGTAGAGGAGGGAGGATACAGACACCAAGTGAGGGGAGGGGGAGGAATGCAGACAGAAAATAAGTAAAATCTATAAGTGGCAGGGAATTTCTCACTGTTTGGGGGAAATGATGCAACAAGAGGCTAGGAATTATCACCAGTGTGTGGGGGAAAGATGATGTAACTACCCCAGGGAATAACATACACGAGGCAGGGATATTCTCTCATATTTGGGGATAATGATGAAAGAGACATAGGGTAAATAAAGATAATATAACGAATAGGGGAGATGTGATAGATGGCGATAGAAAACAGAAAACA